TGTCTCGGCAAGTGCGGGGGTGCGTGTGATGCAATCTTGCGTAAAGTTAGGGGTAGATGAGACTTAAGAGGATTGAGACTTGTTACTACAACTTATACAATGATAATTTCATCAAAGTGAAGTAAATTAGATTTTTATAGTTTTTATATTGGTATATTTATTTTTAAGTATTTTAGTTGTGATCAAATTAAATGTGGACACCTTTATAACTACCTACATGGCAATATCAATATATGTATGTGAGAGTAAATGAAAACATTATGAATTTTTTCATTCAGCGGTTGCTTCAATAAAATTATTCAGTTAAATTACAATATTATTTTAATAAACAATCGCTTATATTACGCATTTATGAGCTGTTTCCCGGAAACAATATCAACATATGCTTCAGTAATCTTGCGCTGATAAGCTGATAATAAGTTGTGTGGTACATAAGAATATTGGAAACTAGTGATGGTAATTTACTTGGATAAAATTTAATTGGAAAAACTATAATTGCTTTTGGGAAAATAATTATTAACAAATGGTTTAGTTTTTCTAAACAACGTAATTAAGTGTTAAAAAATGATAAAAATTGTATAAATAATATGTTTATAAAGAGTATATAGGTTTGTTTATGTTAATAATATTAATATCAGTGATATGTATTCGATTATTCTACAAATGATTTATACAATCATATAAAATCAATATTTATTATCATTAAAAATATGTATTGTAATAACCAATAAAAAATATATATTATATACATTTATAATAGATTAACCAATGATAATTGTTAAAATGAAGATTCATTTATGAGAAGTCGGAGTCATTAAAATACTTGTTAATTTTTTGAAACTCTGTGAAGATTTCTTCGGAATATTCTAATATTGAAAACCATAAGATTCTGCGTTGTGGTAGAATTTGGATTCTATAATATTCGCAGATACTGATAATTTCATGATAAGCCATCTGACAACCTTTCCATTCGCGTCAACTTTTCTCACTCTGTTGTAATAACGCACGGACATTATGATCAGAATGCGAGTTCTTGTTATACGCTTCATTATTATATTGGATAGCCACGATATATACATAACCATTTGGTGCGTTGTGTAAATGTGATTTTGCAATTGAACTATCAAAGTTTACAATAGTTTCAAATTTCAATTGTCCGTCCAAGTCATATTGGGTAACATTCATAGGTATTTGATTGTGTAGCAGATCAATGAAAGTAATTAAATTATTTTTTGTTGCTACTATTAGAAAGACTTCTTACTATTTTTTTTAGATTTGTACAATCTTTTGAAAGCTAGAAGCAATAAGTTCATTAATAATATAACATTTAAAAGCGTTGAATTTAACAAAATTTTCCGATTTAAAAAAGAAACCACTTAAAAATGAGAGATTTTAGTTACACTAGATGGAGAACATACAAAAAAATGAAGTTTCATTGACTTACCATCTTTTATCAAAAAATCGGTAACTTATCCCGGTAACTTATCCGTGAATTTGTCGTATTGCTATTTTCCTATTTGAGTGTGACTGAGATCCAATGGCATAGACTCGTGGGATTGTGGTGAAAGGACTGTATTCAATGGTTGGAGTCGATATTTTCTTGCCTTGGAAATCACAACTTTGTTTTCAAATGCTACTTTCACATAATTCTGAATCTTCAAAGTAAATATCGAAGCTATTAGCACATACTGTTACTCTTACTTTCTCAAAGATTGGTTTGCTCGCTTTGTTTGATAATAATACTTAAGATGCTATACAAGAAGAAAGATCAACTATTTCAATATCGTTAATAAATATTTGATTTCCATGCTTAGTGAGGCTAATTGGTGTTACTAACATTTTATCTGCGAAGAGCGGTACGATATTAACAAAGTAACTATTGTTACCTTTTAAAATATCATATTTTTTTTAGAAGGTCCACAACTACGTCGTGGATTAGCGATTGACTAGTATGTGCTTGTATAATTACTACTGTTATGGTAAATTACAAAACTCACATTTTTGTTATTAACCAAAGATACTACAAATTTTTTTCCACTATTTTTAGTTAACCGATAATATTCTGAATTTTTCTCGTTCATGAAGGTCGCTATAAAAAGAACGGATATTAGTGTATCAGTTACTTTTACCATGATGATCTTTATTGACATTTCAATTATAAAATGTACAAATGTAACGTCATTCGAAGTAGCACTGGTCGGTCTATTGCAGACAGTCTGTAAATAATATATGCTTTCAATTACTGCTATCAAAATTGATAAGTATGTTTAATTAAAAATCATTATTATGCCATAGTCGGAAAGTCCGAAGACTTTCAAAATTGATAAGAGTGTTTAGTTATAAATCATTATTATGCAATATTCGGAAAGTCCGAAGACTTTCAAAAAATCAGACGATCACGCTAGGATCACAAATATTATTCTCAGAAGATAAATTTTTATCGTTGACCTAGAATAGCATTATTATGGAACTGCCTATTAATGGGTTAATCCAAATTTATATTTTGACAGTAAGTTGCGAATGTTGAGTTTTTATGGTCAGATAAAGTGACTGTTTTGTCAAATTTATTTTGAATAAGCCAGTTTTGTATACCAACCGTACTACAACGATATACTATATAAGAATTCATAAATAAAATTAAGTTAGTCCTATTTTCAGTAAATAAATGTACAAATAAGGATTTTTGTAATAAACTTTTCCATTGAATAGCTCGGATTCAAAAAACTTATTTGATAATCATAGTTTACGCACTGATTTAATCTTTTTTATATAAGTAAAATTTCATATTGGAAACATGGGAAATTCTATGAAATATCTTTTTTCAAAATCTATTACAATAATTATTAATTATTCTAAAATTAAAAAACTGAAATAAAAATGTATAACATGGTGAGTAATGAGAAAAAACAGATGGAAACTGCCACAAAATGGTACTAAATTTTTATAATCACAAAACAAACTGATAACAAGTAGGTCCCGGACCAGAATTATGCTTCAATATAATTGCGACATTAAATGGAAACAACTCGTGAGACTATCGCGTGCGGGTGGTACTATAACGATGGCAATAATCAACGTTCCTCTGAATTCGGGTTTTCTCAACTGCCTAATCTGCTAAGATGAAAGCTATATAACATAGCTTCGGTTAGGAAGACCATTAGTCGAAATTAATAAGTAACTCACGAGTGAAACAAGTGAGATGAGTTACAACGTGTGAATAGCTCATAAGCGTAGCAGCCAAGTGGCACAAAATTATTACAGTCATCAACAGTAGGTAAAGTCAAAAACAAGCAATTCCATGCCTCAAAATTAAGCGCATACGTTCCAGTGTGAAAACAAAGACGCCGCTAAACAGAAACAGCGAGAGAGCGAAGGCTTTCTGTCGCGCGAAAATCGTCTTGCGTGCGGGTGGCGTAATAATAGCGCCGATGATATATGTCCCGCGTGAAAATCCTCGTTTTCTGGATGCTTTTAATCCGCTTGAAGATGAAACACGCGGGTGGACGTACAATGGGACACGTGTTCGTCGTCAGTTAAGCGTTGAAATGATGATTATGCTTCCTCATTCTATCGACAAAGACCGTGTTAATTTTCAAAGTCTAACGCTTGTGTTTTCGTGTTGTCCGAGATTTATGACTGATTGCCTTTTTGTTGTAGCGCGTGCTGCTGGCAAACCCTCAGTGCATTTGTCTTCGAGCTAAGTGATGCGCTTTATTAATGACGATATTTCCTTAGAAGTACTATGAAGTGGGCTGGAACTGAATGGCTAATTTGCTACAATTTACTACATGATACATGTCACATATTTTTTTATCGATTTTTTTAGGAAACTTTATTAGTATGAGGATACTACTTCATAAATTATAAGATTATCAGTCTCGTTTCTCTCAAATACCGACGAATATAGACAGTTCTCATAATCCTTGACTTACGAGATTAGCATTACAAAATCAATATTTTTCATGTATCTTGCCTAAAGAATCATCGATTCTTCGATTTAATAAATCACGTAGAAAAAATAAATCAAATCAAATCAATAATTTGTAATTTATTTGTATTAGGACGGGAATGCTATTTTCAGAGACTGCTTTTTAATAACTTAATGTTGTACATACAATCTCCTTTCATTAATAATAACAGCGTGGGATGGTGATTACGTAAATAACTATACTACAGAAAACAGATATATATATCTTTGAGTCTGTAAATTTATTGATAATGACATTTAAATACATTAAATCAAAAATTTCCAACATATTTAATCAGTGGATATACTCAAAAACTACTAATGTGTGCGCACATGCTTATTACTTAAGTATGTTCATTAACATCTATTAATTTATAGCAGGGTATATATAAATTTACTCAGTTTCGTAAATCCTCCATAATCAGTAAAGATTTTTAATTTTTGAAATTTTTATTTGTTCAGTCACGTGCAAATTTGATCAGTTGAATACTCCTTTTAAAATTTTAGGGGCTTTGACCTATTAAATACATATTTTCGAACTTGATTGAGTTCGATGAAAATCTTGATAAGATTTTCAACTGTTTATGAATTATAGGGGTTGAAAAAGTAACGTGTTGAATAAAAAAAATTTTCAGAAAACTCAAATCATATTCATATAATTAATGTTTATATATTACTGTAAAATTGATTTAGGAATTTTTTTCGTCGGTATAAGATGTTTATGTAAAATCACTCGTGGTACAAGACATTATTATCTTAAACGATTGATATACGTGTACGATGAGCATTAAAATTAATAATAACTCTCCTCTCTTTATCTAACAATCGAAAATCAAACATTCATGAAACACGTGTCAGTAGATCAAATACAAAATTTGTCTTCTTCATTTGTAGGCTTGTTTTATCAATCACGAAGACTAAGAAACGACTTTTGGGATAATTCAACTCACTGATAGTTTTATTGTTGCGCTAGCAGTATAAATACAAGTGAATTCGTAAAATTAAATCAGTTCAGATTCAGTAAGTACGCAAATTGGAACGTGGATCCTTAAGTGTACGTAAGTATAAAATTGAATGACTCGAATTGTCATAGTATTTTACGAGTATGCTTAGTTCTTTTTATACAGAGTAAGATTTGTCATTTTTTTATATATATTTTTTAGGCACAATTCTATACAATAGTCCGAAATAGCACAATGAAGAGAGCAATTATAACATTATTTGCAATTTGTATTGCACATGTTTTTGCAATCAAACAACACTCAGTAGACTACAGATACCCTTTGGATGCGCGCATAATTCAAGGCACTCTTAATCATACGAATTTTGTTCATGCCTTATATGAGGTGAATGAAAATAAAACAGAAATTGATTACTACCTCATCAGTGATTCTAACTCATGCGGCTCTAGCAAATTGGAAATGGATAAAAATGTTACCTTTCACAATGATTTTCGTATTATACCATTGAACCAAGAAAACATTTTATTATTGATTTTTGGGCACAGGCCTATGTCAGGTTATCAAGTGAAAATTCAAATAGTTAATCTTTCTTCGTGTCAAAAAAGCAAAATTGAAATACCGACCAAGAGAGAATTGACTGATTTGAAAATTACAAGATACAGTGACAGCTTTGACATTTATTTCAAAGATTCATCCCTTTGTGACAACAAATATTGCAGGAGAAGTTACGATTTCCAAGGAAATTTACTCTCAATACCGTTTGCTACGTTTCCTTCAGACGTTCTACTTGTTCAGCCCGTTGGAGCTGATCTACGGTCGAGCAGTCATGTAGCAGTTACAACGATGAAGAAAAGAAAGATTGTTAATCTAGTTAAAGATAACAGTAAGTAACTATATTTTCATTATAGATATTTTATAGTGTATATGATAATGCTTTTTAATATTATTTGTTTGAGACCACGGCTATGATTTAAATAATAATATTTCAATTAAAAAGCTATTTTTCTCGCCTATCTTCAAATTATCATTATGTTTTCAGTGTTGAATGTTCTGACGGAAATAGGTCCAGAATCACATTTACCCACAGGCAATAGAGACTTAACTCCAGATATATCAACATCTCACAATTTCATAAGCATTGCTTACAGAATGAACTTTACAAGTTTGGTTGTTATGCAGTTTAGTTTAGAAGGACATTTACAATTCCAAACTGCTATAGAATACGGTTATTTCGTTCGTACAGCCAGAATTCTCAATGCACCCAATCGTGGTGTTTACCTAGTTGCTAGTGAATGTGATCGTTATCATTGCAGCGACGATGAGAATAAATATTTAATAAAAAAAATCAACGCCAATGGAAAGGAAGTTGGGTCGATTAGCTTGAGCTTGCCACTTCCTGGTGTACTTGAAGATTTATCATTCTATGAAAATGATCAATTTTATTGTCTTACTAGAGCACAATTGTCTCTGGGAGCAGTTGATTTGTATTACTTCAAAAAAGTAGATATCCATACTAAATGCTTTACCGATGACGATTTAATAAAATAATTTAATTCTTCATTGAATTTGACTTTATGTTGCAATATTTGTTCTTTAAATATATCTATTGAAAATTATAATAATTATTAAATCTTGGCTTTATTTCATTTCATCACACGAATCATCCACATCATTATGCAAATACAATAAAAAATCCTTTCCGAAATTGGAATAAGCAGGTCTGTAGCTACATTTAAATTATATCTACAGCGAAATTCATATCATAGATTCTATGTTCTCTATCTATTTATTATTGACTATAAATTTATTAAGCAACTGTATTTGTACTCGTATTGATTATAGGTTTCGCGTTGGGAATATATAAATCAATTATTGTTGTAAAATAAATTAAAAGTAATTAATAAAATGAGGCTTAATTTTTTATCAAAATCAAGGAACTCCAACACGAGAAAAGTTTTATCTTGCATCGAGGCTATCTCAAAAATCTACATATTTGTAATAGAACATATACAAAATCTAATATTTAAAGTAAAGCAGGAAGCAATTTGAAATTGTCAAATCTAAAAATGAGAATGAAAGAATGATGGTTAAACTTTATGTAAACTTTACCTTTCTAATATCTAGCTATATAAATACGACAAAAGGTAAAACGACAAAACGATTAGCAACAACATTATAATATCTCGCGTGCTCGCATTGCACGCACCCGTGACACTGACGTACATTCGAAAATGAATAGCAACTTTACCGAGACGAGTGAAGAATGCTTTCTCCTTCGTGTTGGCGTTGAAAGAGTGATTTTCTAAGATTCGGCGTCACCGAGATACCAAGTCCTACGCAACACAGACTAAACATTTTAGCCACTTCGCAGTGCGCTCGGGGTAAAGGACCGACTTCTAAGGCGGCGACGCTCTGCGAAAATAAGAAGAGACAAATGTTTCAGACAATATGCGAATTGAGACAATTTCAAATATAGGTACCCGCGTACATTTTAGATATTCACTATTATCTTTTTGTGCGTAATTTCATTCTAAAATTTTTGCTTGGAAACCATTCACATTATGTTTATTTTTATATTGTTTGCTTCTGCATTGCTCACGGCACATGTCAAAATATTATGATTTTCATGAAATAAAGAAGAAATTTGAAATATTACAGTGGGAATGTCAGCTGCATGATTTTCGTAGCAAGACCGGGTGCATATTTAAAAATACGCGGCACGCCGAAAATCTTGAGAAAGGCTTAATTTCGGCAATCATTTCCATCGAGCCAAAACCACAAGGAAACTGCGAAAAAAAGGTAGCGAATGCCAGCGGTGCATATAAGAGCGGAGGAAGTAGCAACGGAAAACAAAGCGGCTCAAAGAAAGTCTCAGCCGTGGCTGAGATAAAGCGAGAGCGGCGCATACAGCAGGCGTGCGCGGGGGAGTCGTCGGCGTCGCCGCCGCGAGAGCTGTCAAAAGGCGAGGAAGACGGAAGGCCCTTATTTATTGCGTCTGTCTGGCTTTGTTGGTTTGCACGCGTAAAAGCTGCGCGGTGTGTCGTTGCGCTCGCCCGTATACTTTAGCGTGCGAGCGCCCGCGCGGTTCCGCCCCCGAGCGACGCCGACGGCTCCAAGGTCAACCCAGTCTAGACGCTCTTCTTCAAGCTTTTTCGTTGACAGCGCGGCTAAATAAGTTTTGCGCGGGGCGCTCGTTAATTTTTAGTTTGGGACTTGCTTCGGCGATTCTCCTCTCTTATCGCGAACACGCTATACGAAGATCGTCTGCTGTGCGCGACCGAGATATTACAGCTTCATTAAAAACGCATCGGTGACCGTAGTCAATGTAATTTATAGCATTGACAGCAATTGCATGCAAAATTCAAATGACTGCTAAGGTACAAACACGAAGAGGCTGTCACTCAAAAATCAAAAGCTCAGGCATATTTCCTCGTGTAGTACGATTTTCTCTCGGATATTTACGGGTGACAGCGACTCGTCGAGTAGATGACGCCTGGAATGTAGACGTTGCGCAATAGATGATACTAACTACCTAGATTTATATCCAGACTTTTTTCATATCGCATTGCTTGCAGTGCATTTGTATTTTACAATTTAGCATTACGATCAGAGATTCACATCAGAGCCAAATGACAATGATGTAGCACCAATTATACAAGAAGAAAGTAACAGTCAACAACGTTATTTTCTATTCGGATTATCGGCTTGGATGAACGTTAAAAAGCCTGCAGAGCTGATTGTTGCCGTGATTGTACCGCACAAGCCTTTTATAGTAAAAGTAGTTATTACTTCACTGAATAATGAATTTTTTTTTATCGCCACGCTTTACAATTCAAATATTTCACTTTCACAGATTGAGTGCATCGACATTAAAAGTGGTTGGCAGCCGGTTATCAGCGAGCGTTCAACAGCTAAGTGCCCAAATTAATCTGCCTCTCATTACCAGGCGCAGCAGAAGAATTAAAAAAGCCATCACCACGTTGAGCGCGCAAAGCGACGTTCAAGCGATGTCATCGAAAGGGACTCGCATTAAATAAAAGTGCCGCGCGAGGAAGAAGCGCCGACTCATTTCGCAAAATTACGATCGCGAGAGCGAGCCACGCTGGCCGAGGCTGAACATTAACGGCTCGTTGCGCGCCTCGAGAGACACCCACTCGGCGCGCGCGCGAAAGGCAAACGAGAAGCGCTTTCGGAAGTGCGATGCGGCGCGGGTGGCTCGCTTGCCAGAATCTCGACCGGAGTGCCCTTGTTTCGCGAATATACTTCTTAGCTGGCAGAGATAAAGAGGACGAAGGCGAGGGTGTAAAGCGGAAAATTGCGGCGATGATTAATTTATGCGACACGCACGCTGTACTACGTCTTAACACGGTCACGCTAATTGGTATATCTGCTTGTTTTGCTTTCTTCTGCAGCTTTTATTGCTACGTGACAAATACACTCCATCAATTTGCTAGTATATTTATATGTTTGTTTGAAGCGTAGATGAGTGCAATCAAATACGGGAAATAAATTTCGAGAATTATTCGTTTGACTGGCCGCGCGACAGAATTGACGGCGGTTCGGAGGTAAAATTTTCGACGCGCTCGAGAGCTACTACTGCGCGCGCTCTACAGACAATTGATACGTTTCTCGGGAGCAGCACAATGAGGATCCCACGCCGCGCACATACGCATGTCTTGGCTATTGACAAATGATCGGCACAAAGTGCGAATAATTGTCAGAGCGCTGGCTAAAGAATGATAAATCGAAGAAATGCGGGGTATTAACGTCCCCCGACTATTCAACATCACAGCGCAACTTCTCACGACGTTGTAACAGTAGAAGCCCAGTGACGACGTGGCTAACAACTTCATCTATGTAAATCTGTGCTTGTGATAATCAAACCTTTTCAAACTCACATAGACGTGTCTTTCTTGGCTCACTCGTTGGCTTGTTTTATTGCACACCTGAAAATATTGGAGAAATCAAAATGAAAAGCAACAATCCAGACTTTGTATTTTCGAACCGAAAAAGTGAGCGAATTAATTTTCACGAGAATGTTCGAAAAATTGCCAAGAATCCCAACTAACACGCTCGCCCGAGAGAGAAAGCTCATCTCGGCCAGAGTAGTAGTCTGCGAAAATAGTGCAGCGAGCTTGCCACGCATGCATGCATTTTCCAATTCGTCACACACCCACCGCCTCAGCCGCGCATCTCTCTCTCTCTCTCTCTCTCTCTCTCTCTCGCGGTCACACAAGAGGGCCATTCTTCGCAAAACTCACACTTCTCTATGAATAATCGCGACAATCCTCGTAAGCTGCAGCATCGTTATAATCACTCTCTGCGAAACATTGTTCCTTTTTCACCAGTTATACAGCGAGTTGCTCGACTCTGTTTATAAATAAATAGTATACCCATCGCAGAGCACGCGCGCACCGAGCAGCGCAAGCAGCTCATAGTCGTGTTTTTGTCGAAATTTTGCGAGAGTCGCTGCTTGTTCGTCAAGCTGATGAATGAAAATTGCCAGAATGTTTTCCGGTTGCGAGACATGGGTTTTTAGGGTCTTTCACTTTTGGCCGACAGTTGCTGTACTCGAAAGGTTCGAATGTATCACCGTGTGCTTCACAGCAGTGAGCAATTTTTTTTCCAATCGAACGAAATATACCGATCAATTATATTGTAATCCAATGGTTAATTCAAGTTAATCGATTTTAATAAGTGTATCCGATTCAATTACAAAGGAAGAGTACATAAATTGATATTAATAAAAATTGATATTTTTATTACAACATGAATTTCCGAAGCAGAAATTTTCATAAATGAATGAAGGAATTCGGCTTCGGAGAAGTTCCTTTTCAATTGTGAATGACGATTTCTCAAGCTCGACTTATAAAAAATCAGAAAAAACGTTTATAGAGACGAAAAAACTCTATAAAAATAGTAAAAGCAATGGTAATGTTGACCGTATAATCAATGAAGAGCAGCTCGCAGAATCATGAATCAACGCAAGCTCGGCTGCAAGCTCTTCTCAGTGACCGAGAGTAGTCGTGACACTGCCTTTCTTCATAAATAAAGCTACACGCTTTAGAGTGAAGAGAAGCTACATTCACTAAATCCACGCATATATCTGACTTCGCGCATTGTTAGTTTGCGCGCGCGCTACGTTTTCGGCTATTCTCGTGTGCAAAATTATTATTACCGACGCGTGCATCCCGTTTCGTCGTTGCGGTTTCTCTTTAGCCCATTAATGAGGCTATTTCCAAACAGCACTGGCCCTTGTATCGTGGCCGCGGCGTTGTTGTGTGTTTGCTGCCCTACCCAGGCAGTAGACAGAGAAGCAATTAAGTCGGACGCGGAAAATCGCCGAGGTTAAACTACATGACGCCTCTTCTGCCGCGTGGAGGACGATCGCGTATGCGTGCTTCTTTTTTCTTGCGTTTTCAGCGAGGCGCCTGTTTGCGTTTTTGCTTATACCAGTGACGCGCGCTTGCGTGAATAATGAATTGCTACAGTCGGCTCGACGCTGCCCCGCGAGAGCGCTTTCGCCTGTGTATCATTTTTGAGAGGTGCTGAGCGTAACGAATTACTTTGTCCCTCCATTTTTTTCTTTGCACTTTCAGTTAAACGGATTTCTTACATTTTAGATTAGCATTGAAATTGAGAATTTGCAATAACTATTTTTTCTCTGTTTAAGGATGAAGGTTTTAAAATCGATTCATACATTTTTTTTTTATTTGGTCAAGTCACATATTTATTTTACAAGCGTCCGTTAAAAATCGACATTTATTTTTCTAAAAAACAAACTGAAAATCTTTATCGGTCAACTGTGTAACAATGGCAGTTTAATTTATTTTTAACTCGGTAAAATTACTTGGCGCAACTGTAGACAACAAAAAGCAGTTGGCCAAAAGACGCCTAAAAAGTGCGGGCGCTGTTCGAGAGGGAGAGCAAGAGAAGAAAAAGGAGGAACGGATGCAGCAGCGAGTGCATCAAGCTCCGTTGGAAAGGGCGTGGGAGAGGCATTTGCGAATTCTTAGCGTACTGACGCGAGTGATTCAGAGAGATGTGTGCATGCGTGTGCAGTGCCGACGACGATACGAGATAAAGTGCACACACACGCGCGTGCGTATATTTCTTTTTCGGGAGGATGTGCCGAAAGTGGCGCGCCGTTAATCACTCGTGTTCAGACGAAAAAAAAATCCTATGCGAAGCTTCGGTACACTCGCTTTGCGAGAACACGTAGAAAAACTTGGATATTTTTTTTTTATTTACGAAGCAACCGTTTGTGTACTCGCGTCATTGTTAAGTGAGATTGAACGTAGAATTGCAATTTAAAGATATTCGTAAAAGATTGTAAGGAGTATTTTTGACAGCTATTGAGAAATGGTCCGCAATGATTACCGTTTGCTAATAAATAATAATTTGCCGTGCAATGTAAATTGGCGAGCAATAGTTTTGTTAGTTTGATAACTCGGCATTTCCGAAAGCTGTCGCAAGATTATTTACGTTGCCTGTCCGCCCTCGCCATCATCATACCCGTGTACATACTGCAGCGAACACATCCTCCTCAACGCGGATGTACGTTATGAATTTCTAGGAGGAACAAGCTGCGACTCTATCATGCTTCATTTTCGCATAGGCATGATTGAGTGTGCTGCGCTTTTGGAATTTGTAAGCTTTTCCGGTTTGATACTACGAACTGGCCGAAAGGATTTGCCGGAAATAAATTAAATTTCCAGTGCAATGAAAGTAGCCAAGCACTTATAATGAACTATACGATTAAAATATCGAGCAACGTATTCATAGTCCGTACACATTTATGAATGTTTAAACACAACTGGTAAGCTATCGCTCGTTCCTTCTAGAATATTCCTCAAAATCCGTAAACCGAAACTATTTTTCAGTAGGGGATTGCTTTCGTTTGAAAAATTTCGTGCAGTAGTGAAGGACTCGTGTGCTTTTTATCGCTCTATTTCTAAAATATCAAACTCTTCCATGCTTCAGAGATTTTCTTTACAATTCGTCAGCTTTGAACAACAACCATCAAAATCGCGGATACAATTACAGCAATATTTTTAGTATTGCATTCGGATTTTATCGGAAGTGGCGAAACAAAAAAATCTTAATCTTACGGATTCAATTACCAAGAGAAAAGTATTATATTGGACTGTACTAAAATCTTGTAAAACTAAAACTTTAAATTGAAAAGTTCGCGCAATATTTCGGTATTAATGGAACTGAGCTCACCTCATTCACCTCGCGTGAATAGCATTCTATGCTTGATGTCTTCTCTTCATTCGCGAATCTCAATCTCGTCGTTCAACTTACAGTGGACGTTGCATTTCGTTGATGCACTATTTATAAACATTTGACGCGGTGCCTACGTAGCGCTTTCTCGTCTATCTTCATCTCTTTTTTTCGTGTTCTGAATGCGGGTGGTTACTTCGTTACTTATGCGCTCTGGTAGATTTCTGGTAAGCTCTTTATTTATCTACTATTCATAGCTGCTGCGAGCATGCTTGCGTGAGAGATCATTACTGCTGCAATTATTTTCACGCGAGTAAATATTCGTTGATACAATTGGCCTTCCAAAATTACGAAATATCTACTTCATGCATTTTTGTGTACTTTATTAAAAAGGGTCAATTGGAATTGAATATTCGGCCCCATTTATGTATTTCCTCTCAGTGGGAAAATTACATGCAATTCGTAGAAGAAAATTCATTTGTGATAATCTTTACAACATATATGTTGAGAAAAATTTAATTTAGAAATATTCCCCGATCAATTTTAGCCGATAACTTTGTCGAGTAAACTTTGTCGATAGCCCGCTTAACATCAATTTCATCTAACGAACTTCCGAAAAGTGCGAACGCAAATAAAAGAAACCGAGCACTCGCGCATATAACGAGCAATGCACTACCGGCAACACATACAAGCTACTCTCGTCGTCCAAGCGCGCCTTAACCTCGCGTGCCCCAATAGAGCATTCGTGATAGCTGTCAGTCTCAGTCCACCTGGCGCGATGTCGTTCTCTCTTTCGCTCGCGCGCGCGCCCACGATTTCATCGCATTCCCCCGTGTATATAGGCTTACTAGCGCTCACCGCATCAAGTTTCGCGCGAATTTCCGCAGAGCGAGAGGGGGATTCCTTCGGGCTAAAACCGATTCTAAATTTGTTATTTACTATTCTAATAATAAAGCAGAGCGCGCCAAGCGAGCTTAACGGGAGTAGAGAGTTGTGTTGCGCTAAATCACTGACGCGCCTCATCTACACACACACACACACACACACACTCGCGTAGATCCACGCACACCAACTATAATTCGTGGTCTATTGTTTTTTTTCCTTCGATGTGCTATAATTTTACGTGTGCTCGGCTCTTTCGATGAAATACTCCGTGATTCAGACGACCATTATACCATCAATGCTTCATACCTTTTTACATTTAATATTGATTGTTAGTTTATTTTTCTCTGTGCATAAATAACACTAATTTTCTACCACTAAAAACGTAAATACGTGAAGATTTAAAGATACAAAATCAGCCAACTCGGGACAAAAAAAAATAGGCTGTTTGCTCTTTTACATTCAGTAGGTAGATGTTTAGGTTGCGTGATTTCAGGCGTACATTTATAGTGAAGACATAATGGCAGCGATGCAGCAATTAATCTCGCGGGCGTCAACTCTCCGCCTAAATGCGATCATTTAATGAGTCTGCGTGCTCATCTGTCATCTCACTTAAAACAATCTCTATAGCAAGGGACGGGGATCGAGCATTTCTCGGGACGCAAGCTATGCTGTTTACGACGCGGATTGATCGCCCATCCAAACGTAACTTACATAGACCATGCGGGCATTGAAATGCCCATGTTTTCATTTTTTTTTCTACCTCAATGAGATTTTTTGTTTTCGTCAATCATTTGCCAATCGGAAGGTATATTGATGGGAGCCTTATTGTTTTGTTTTGTTCGGTACGCGGAGTTACAGCGTATGTAGTGAGAGTTGGCGCTGAATAATGCCAAGATATTCGTTGAGAAGTTCATAATATTTTGCTAATCCTTGTTTGGATTTCATATTGATTGATTCTATGATTATAAGAGTCGAAGAAATTGATATACTTCGCTATACTACCTTAGAAATAAAAATTTCTGTTATACGTATATTCGAAACATCGTTTTTTAATGTATTTGTAATTCTAATCTTCACCTACATACCCAATAGGTCAGATTGAATTTTTCATTTATTCATGTAATTGCAGCATTGCACATTAGATTGGGTTTTATAAAATCAAATAATTAAATGACCACCCACCGTTTTCCTTAAATGGTTAGTGTACAATGTAGATTACAAGAAAATAATCTACACCTCTTCAGAAAATACCATATTGAATTTATCATCTTCGTAACCTCTTTGCAGTTGCAAAAATCCACACGCATTGAAAATCGCCTCCTCGAATGTCTTCATAACTCGGAGATTACGCCTCCTAATCCATGCACTCGTCGAGATTTGCGATCCACCCCCGGCGATCTCTTGGAATTCTCGCGACTACACACTATGCACCGCCCACGCCAGGCTTTTCTGCCTCGCAATTCATCGCTTCGGCTTCGCACGCGGAAAGACTCGTTACTTTCGAAAGCCTCGCTCCTGCGCTGTATGCAGCAGGTCTTGTGCAAATATTTTGACAAGCAAGATGTACACGTTTCAAGTGTATAGGTATTTTATGAGTTGATAAGATATTGAAAGTTTGATTGATGTTATATTGGCATTATTTTACAGGTGGTCGGCGATGTAAGCGTGTTATTAATTGTGCTCGAGTGTAGATGTTGAAACATTTTCGCAAGATGTAATTCATTTCCAAGCATCATTATTGACAAGAAAAATTGGTCGGGAATTTACATTCAATAATCATAAATTGTTTTCAATAATTATATTATAAAAAGTTAATTTAAGATTCTCTGCTTCTCTGGGACCGGCTTGATTGTCATCGCTGATTGAGACCGGTTATACAATAACTAAGAATAGAAAGATTTTACTGGAAATTACTTGCTTATTATTGTTATCCATTTGCTGAAAAATTGATGTTGATTTAATCGTAAATGCCACTTTCTATAAGGAAAAATTTCGATAATTATTTTAATAGTAACTATTGAAATTATTGCAAAAATAATGCAACTCAAATAATATATAAAAGTCTTCTTTTAGATATAATATAAATCAAATATCTTTACATGGCATTTTTCTTTAGATCTACAATAGATATACTATATACATCGAATATTTTGAAATCGAAGTAAGTTGTTTAAGAAAATGCATAGGAAAGCTTGAAAAATATTTGCTTAAAAATATAAATTTAATGATGTATCTGGAAAGAAGTTGTCATATGAATAAAGTTTACGCAACAAAATAAACCTCGTTATTACCTGACATAATTTTTTCGTCGATGTGTGTGGTGTGTGCGGAAAATGCGTCTGTCAAAATTACCATTCACCCTACAGCAAGTTTGAAATTAATACGAGTACAATATTGTTTCCAGTATTGAACCAGATCTAAATAAAATGCAACGTAAAAAAATATATAGATCATAGAGAATTAAATAAATTTAATTTATTTAACCTAAGCTGATACATTATCCTCCTCATTAACGGTGTGATTATCAGGTTCGGTATGGCTGGGCCACTGTATGTTGAGTGTTTTTCAAAATTTCGTAGACTTCATCCGAAGTCAATACCTTTTGGAAGACAGTCCTGCCGAAGGATATGTCGATACCACTTGCGAACGAAGTGTTCTTTCGCGTGACAATCATCGCATGCTTCGGTTAGAATGTGCCCACATCGACGACACCCTCACGAATATTCCACATCAGATGCTCGTGCAACTCTACACCAGATTTGTTAGTTCTCTCGTCTAAATAGCTTTCCATTCTACAATTTTATACTAGAAAATATTTTAGATGTTGGAAGATATATATAAATGAACGCTATAATATTCGATAAGTATAGAAATATAACTATACCAAAAACAGACGCCAGGTTTGCGACACTCAATATCAGTAAGATTAATAATATCAATGTGACTATTGCCATAAAGAAAATTCCAATGAAACTCAGATTGTTAGCTTTTGACCAAATCGTTTTCAAAAATACTAGCGATGCTAATGTTAAGGGATTGGGATCACTGAACACTATATTTCTTCATCTATAACTGCAATAATAACTACTGTTTTCATCTTTTTATTTATTCGATAAAGTCAAGGTAAAAATTTAGCGATGAAATCGATAAAAAAAAGTGGCTTCTATAATAACTATAATAAATATATAAAGCACAATTAAATATATATGCATCAGCACCGTTATGCATTGAATGAAATTTCACAAGAAACTTTAAAAATAGTGAAAAAGTTATGCGCACCTGCGAGAGAAAGTCAATTACGTTGACACTTAGCGATTGAGAAGACAACACAAAGCCTCCTATACTGGCGGCGTGGCGCAGTGGCAAAAAGACAGGTAGGCGTTGCATTTGAGCAAAAAAAAATGATACCTATATTCCTACGGCGAGCGGACGGGATCGTTTGTTATCGCGTTGCGCACATTGTGGCGCGTACATTGTTAAAAAATGAGCCTCATCAGCGGCTGCTGTTATTACGAGGCTTCGATAAAAATCTTACACGACCTTCGCGCGCCAGCCTTTGTATTCCTTTTATACCTGCGAGGAGCCAAGGCTCAATCATCGCCGAGTCCTTAACCATTGTCCAACCTTTCTTCTTGCACGTTTTATCCGAGGCCCTCCTGATTACTCCTCCGCGCTGCTTGACGTCTCTTTGATATCTGCTACGAGGATTTTTCGTGCTTACGCTACTTGATTCTATTGTACGCTGCTACCATGTGATTAGATTCATTTTTTTTAGTTGATTAAAACAATAATTGTACGTTTTCCACTTAAATAGTCTGATGTGCAGTGTTTTCAACTACATTTACAATCTGTCTAACAATAATAAGAAAATCGTATTATACACTAACACACCACGGTGCATTTATAATGGATCTTAAGGCTTTACTTTGGAATCTTTATGGAATTGGTGAATTGCTTATGTGTACTGAAGGTCAAGTATCTTTTTTTAAGATCTAAGTTACTTGGATTGACTTGGTTTCATTAATTATTATTCCCCATTTTTAAGCCAAAATAGTATTTTATTTAGATATTTCTACGTAATATAAGAAGCCATTGTTACACTTGAGTGGAACGTTAAGATAGCTATGTCATGTGCATAAGTGTCGATATAAATATTTTTGATCAAGTGTCCTAGTTTGAACATTTCGAAGGAAAAAAAAATAAACAAATCCTCGTAACTTCGAATTTTGCCGAATGAAAAACAAGAAAACGCCAACTTAATTCTGCCATGACAACGGCGTTGTCGCTGTATACTAGCAACTAAGCAACGAGCGTCAGTCGCGCAAGCTCCGCCGACGTAATAACATCGTCGTCATAATCATCGTTAACAAACCCTTTTCCTTCCTTTACATTTTTCGGTTGCTCAAATTTAAGTCTCGCCGGGCGAAACATGATAAATTAGCAGTAATCGTCATCGACAAACATCAGTGGACTGAATAAGGAAAAAAGTTGAGCTCAGGATGAAGGTCAAGAAAACGTCTCCGAAAATGTCCGGATTGGTCGTCGCGGCTCTTAGGAACCTCCGCGCTGCACATGGTTCCACAGCCAAAGAGATCATGAAGTACATCATGGCCGAATACAATGCCTCCGAAGCTGTCGTTCAACGCCAGGTCAGCGATAACAAATTTGAGTCCTGTACAATTATTTGCTTCATTTTGGCACGCAAATATACGAAGATGATTTTATCTTTCGAAGCTTTTATTTTCAAGCTGTCTTTTCTGTCACAATATATCACGTTTATCAATTAAGATTCATGAAATAATTTTCATTTCCGACTTCAAATAATATACATATTTATATGCATTCCATTGATAAAAAAATTTTTCCATTTGCAGCTGAAAACAGCCCTGAAGCGCGGTGTTGAATACGGAATTCTGAAAAAGACAACCGCCGGTTATAGCCTCAACACCGATGCTGAAGTCATCGGGCCGTTCGATTTAGCTCAAATGGATGCTTGCGGCAAACGAAAAAGTGAGTTTTTCCTTATTTTTATTTCATGCTAAAATTTTAACAGCTTTTAGCGATTCAATTAAACATTAACGTATTCTTCGTCTCTCGAACGGTTGGTTAACCTTGACGCTTGTTTGCTATTAATATTGAATTGCAAATGAATTTTGCAGATTTACAATTAAAAAAAACAAACAAAAAAAATGTTTTCAAGTTTTCAAAATGTTCCACTCGCTAACCAAGAAAATCATTCGCCCATCAGAACGCAGCTGCAAGCCGAAGCGTCGTGGTTGCGTACCGAAGAAGCGATCGTGCCCTAAGAAGCGCAAGCGCAGCTCGTGCCCTCGTCGCCGCAAGAAGAAGAATCCCTGCGGCATGTGCGCGGCTCGTGGGCGTCGCGGCGATTGTGGTGCTGAGCCGGTCAATCTGCCGGCAAGTCGCGAAGGCAGTCCGAACATGGCTGCCAACGACGACGAAGACGAGGAGATTGGCGATGCCATGACACCACAGCAGCACATTAATTCCGAGACTAGCAAAGCGCCAACGCGCAGCCGAAGCAACAGTCGCGGCAGGAACGACGGTGGCGCAAGGTCGAGGAGTCAAAGTCTGGTCGATAGCGACGAGCTGGATGACGAATTGTGATTCATCAAAATGTCTTCAAGTCCGGGGCTACTATAACGTTGTTATTGCTGTCAGCCTATCTACCCGTCTTTTGGATTTCTTTTCGAGCAAATTTGTACGTGTGCTTTCTTTTACTTTCGTCTGGCGGGGCTGATAAAATTTTTGGGATAGTCTTATCGATGCTCTTAATAAATTTTCTGTACTCGTTTTAAATGTGTCTGCTTGAATCTATTATTTATCAGCATTTTCAATATGCAAACATCGCGGCAACTCCAACTAGTTTTTGTCACTATTAATAAATATTTCAAATATGATACATCTTTTATTAAATTGCAAGAGCTTATGAACTGTCAAGAGTAATTCGAAGTGTCAACAAATAATTCGGTACTAACTTATCCATGTAATCACTTAAAAATGCGTTATCTCCCCTTGTAGTATTCAACAATTTCCTTGACGATCACATGATCACCAATTAGAAAATGACTTCTTATAATAAAGTAAAACTACCCTCAACCGCAAAAGTGCACGTCGATGTCGACCGCGAAATTCAAGGCCCATTAAATGCATCGAATGTGTTTTGATATTAATAATAATAACGGTCTCGTCTTTGCTTTCTCTCTTTTTCTCTCTGCTGTGTCGATCGTTCGGGTCTTTTGACAGCGGCAAGCTTCCGCACGCGCAAAACGATTAAATTTAATGATCGCGATGCTGCACACTCTTCGCCTGAGAAGTACAGTGATAAATGTCGCTCTAGTTTTATTTTGCCCGCGCTAATAAAAATAGATCTGATGTATAAATCGTTGGTTTCTCTCGATTCGAGACTGTAATTCACATCGAATAGAGCGATAAGTTTGAACACGCGAACAGGATTGCAAGTATCGCGAGGAAGGTAGGTCGTTTAAAAATAACCAGGGCTCGTTCGTTTAATTAAGTAATTGAGCGCGCGATTATCGCTCTCCGCGAGAGCGACGAAAAGAAAGAAGAAACAAGGAAAAGACAATCAAAAGACGACGAGCAAAAGTGTTTGGTATATCTTGACGCGACGAGTGCGCCGACCGCGTCGCACACACTTTGCCGGATAACGGTGAGCTTGCTGTAATGTCCGCGTTATCAAAAGTATGCAAAAGAGAACCGATGTTTTTTCTTTCTTCTCTCCGGGTGCTCTTATTGCGGCGTGAGAGTTTTCCGCTGGATTACTGCTGCTGCTGCTGCTGCTGCTGCTGCTGCTGCTGCTGCTGCTGCTGTTGCTGTTGCTGCTGCTCTGACACTGCGACTTTCGTAATGGGCGCGATTGCTTTCATTATTTTATTGTTAAATTGAATATTCGAGAAACTGGATTAGAGAAAAAGCTGCTCTTCTGATAAGTTCGTTCGTGTCCTCTTATATAACCGAGTCGATTTGGGCATTAAAACTCCGCAATCGCAATAATAAAAATGTAACCAACTAAACAGAAACAAAACTAAAGATTAAGGTTGGTGTCATATGTCTATCTCTCAAAACATTCAGAGCGTACAACATGCGCGGCCAATTTGTTCGACAAAGTATCATCGATAGATATAAAACCGAAAGTCCAATCGTAAGTACGGCATATTCAAAAAAATCGCGCAACCTTTTTTCCATGCTTGCTCGCGCGACATAAATCCTCCTTAATGATATCGCCAGCATTATCTTCCCATTCCCTTTTCTCTCTTCACGTGAGAACTCACGGTTGACACCATGCTGCAGCAGCAAATTTTTTGTTGAGTTCACTTTGATATCATGATTTTAGATTTTGTTGGCTTCATGGGTGGCGTAGAGAGATTTGTTCTTCAACGTGATACTTCGGACACGGACCTTTCGTGCTAATTTTTGAAGTAAAAATTTGAAGTCTTAAAGGATTAAATGATGTCGGTCAAGTAGAAATTACGAAACTGCGACATGTTGATAATATAAATTTAGTATTGACATTGAACAATTGAAACTGTAAAAGAGTTAAAGATGAAAATTATAATTTTTTTCGATCAATATCGAGCGATATAATAATTTATGAATGCGATATATTACCTGTAATTAATATCTTATAGTTATCCGAAAACTTGTATTTGCTGCATAAAAGAATGAATAATATTAAAGATGAGAAAAGCAAATTTGTTAGCCAGTGCACTATGCTACTGTAAGTTGGAGTAAAAGAATGATTGATGAAGCAGAAACCAATTAGCTAAAACGGTGAGCTAGAAGTAGTTATAAAACAACAATGAAACGAAAAGCGTTCTGCAACTGTCAGCACGCAATGGAGCTTTCGAAAGTAAAAACAAAGTAAAAGACTCGAAGGAGGACAGGTAGAAAAGTGGAATGCAGACGTGTCGTCGTCCGGGCTACGATCGTGTGAATCGCGCCACCTAATCTTTTCAGTAGAATAGCTGACTGAGGCTTTAATTAGAAGACTCTTTCGCGTACATACACCTGGACATTGGACTGTTAATAAGAGGCACATACGCAACCTGGAAGCTTAATGAAAGTCTTGAGATTCGCGGGCGTTTTCGTCTAATTGCCCCGCAAGATTATAATTGGATATACCTTGGGCAGGCTACTTTGCACGGATCCTTACGGTACACATAGGCACAAACATTTCTTAGGCATATTATAATGCGAGCTACTTGTTGTCGAATTGTCTAATACCAAGTATCGATAGCAATTATACATAGACATTGTCAAAGGATATTTTTACATTTGATTGCACATCCACGCTTCTTTCTTCAATTTCATTACGTTTAAAATACTTTTCAGCTTGTGCTTCAATCATAATAAAAGGAAAAACTTCAAAAAAGATGTTATTTGTTATACATTTTTTAATTTTATTTACTTAATTAATCTTTAAGTAGCAAATCATTTAGAATTTAAACTAGTTGAGAAGAATTTTGATCTATTTTCAGTTATTAACCAACTTTGCTACAAGTATATTATAAAGTCTTGCAGAGGTACACGCATGTACCTATATGTAAATAGGTATAAAAGAAAATAAAACTAAAACCAAATAAGTAAATGAGATTCAAAAATAACAATGTATAATAACTAAATTTATGCCAGTATTTGTGGCTCTGTGATGTTGAGTACATTCATTTCCAGTAGATTATGTGTATTTTTTTATCCAGCTTTTGACAATTTGGTTTTTTCTTTTTATTAATTGTAATTTTTCAGATCTTTTATACCGCTGCTAAATTTCTGATAAATTTTGGTAGAAACATATATTTGACTTCTACTGGTTAATGTTTTATTTACGGCAAACATTTTTTAATTGGGGTCACTGGAGTATTTAAGACATTGTGATGCATTTATAACATTTTTTAATCCGCTTCTGAATTAAATTTATTTAACATTTAGCATTCCAACAGTATGCGCCATATTTGAACGATAATAAGTCAAGCATTGAATGCATTAACTTCTCGATTTATAAATTGACTTTTTCTAAATTAAATACTACTGACTTTAAATGAAAGGAACATCCTAACTCTCGTATTAAGATACTATATAATCATATAAAAATCTTAGATTTTTATGTTTTTTTATGAATCCTTCGTCAAGTGTCTTTAACTTTATTATTTTGCAGTTTCTCTTATTATTTTCAAGGGAAATATATAATAAAATAACTTGAAAATTTTTATTATTCATTACCTTAGCCATTTTTTAATCCATAATAAGTGTTGGGAAACAATCTCAAACTTTATGGAAGTCTGTACAAAGTTTGCGGAATGTGATCAAAGGGTCGTTCAACCGCAGACTGGTAATTCCGTAACAAGTGAACCGGAGCTAAATGTCGTGTCGTCTCCCTAAAATCGCCACCTGCGACACATACACCAGCTTGGTTCTCGAAAGCCTATAGCTGTAATTTCAGCATCTCCAGTGTCCGCACGCGCGCATTCTTTCCAATGCCGCTGAGAGGACGGCCGACGCCGCCACCACAGCCGCTCTGTAAGAAAGTGCATTGTTCCGCCGTTCCCACACTCTATGGCGATTCTTTTCGCGGAAGGCCGCGCACTGGCATCAGTTTCGACGATTCTACGACAGCCACGATTGTATTTTTACATTTGATCGCACACCCACGCCTTTCGCATATTTCTTCGATTTCATTTCGTATGAAAGTCATTCTCAGAAAATTTATGAATTTCATAGATTTTACTTTACCATTCGAATTGCGTGTATTACTATCCAGATCTAGTTACTATTGCGATATTTTGAAAAATAGAACGAACGCGCTATCCATTACGTTTTAATCGAAGATTAGAGAAAAAAAAACTATTTTTTATCAATTAGTGAAAAATAACTAACGGAAACTATTCGTTCTTATAAAAAATTTTCGTTGAAAAACAATTACCGAAATTTAAGCTCACCATACAATAAAAACATCACTATCATTATTCAAAAAGCCTAAATAAATTAATGAATAAGTAAAATATAAAAAAATAATACACAGTTGAATTTACCATTATAGTTTTTCATTTAACTTCAAAATATTAATTTTTTAATTCAAAATCAATCACGCTTTAGAAAGTATTTTAAAAAGTGCGACGCGATCAAAATCAATTTTCAGCATTCCATCTTGTTTACACTCGCTCCACCTTTGCAATTTCAATCGAAATAAAAGAAGAGAGAAGAAAGACGCCGCGAGAGAGTGAGAGAGAGAGAGAGAGAGGGAGAGAGCATTGAATCGTTCGACTTTTATCCGAGCCGCCAGGTTGGATGGCGTGTTGGAAATCAATTAGTCATCGATTGTAGCCGCTATACTGCCGCCTGCAATTAAGGATGATTAAGCGACGCGTATTGCGTTTGGACACTGCGCGACTCGCATGCGAAAGTGTATTTCGGCTCACGCGTATTGCGGAGTTCTTCTCTTTTTTTTTGGCTTTTGGCTTCACGTTAGCTGGCTCTGTAAGGAAAGTATCGAAGAAACGGCGATAGTTTGAAGAACTTACACTGAGCCAATACCAATTTGTCTCTTTGCCATGTTATTGGTTAATCAAAATATTGATTTAAAATAATTGAGA